AAAAAAAAAAAAGGAAAGACGACAACATAGCTTCAATTTTGGCTTCACGGCAGGTTTTTATTAATTTTGGGGAAGTGAGGTGGTGTTGTAAGGTCATAACTGCAGCTCACAGAAGACATTCAGCCTCCCGTGGCTCCAGGCGGGTGCATTATTGACTCCAGTTTCTCGTGGTCTTTAGCATTCACAACGAGCACGAGGCTGGCACTGGGGTTTGATGTTTGCATGGCCTACATTAACTGCAAAGAGAGGGAGAGCTGGGCTGGGGAGTGGTTCATGAACACTAATCTTTCCAATCAGACGCTTAATAAAAAAAGGAAAATTTAAGAATGTGGCTGTTTTGGGATTGCCTTGCATCAGGCTTCTCCTGCCATGGCTCTGATAGGGCTACTTGCGTTCAGCACAGTCAGCGTTGCTCTGCTAGTGACTTCTCCATCTCAAACACAATGTTTTGCATCAACTTCTACACTGGATAATCAACTAGGTGAAGGGGGGGTGCTAAACCTGAATTCTTACGCTACGTGAAAAGCTTGGGATGAAAAGTGTTGAAAATGAACCAATATATTAGCAAAACAATCACTGGCATTGCACTGGGCCGCTGTTTTAAGCCTCTTGTGAACTGTGTTTGTCTCCCTCCGTGATGCAAAGGTGTCAGTGCTGTGCTGGAAGGACACGAGCTCAGTTTGGGACACACCAAAAGACTCTCTATTTCTGCCCCCTATTTTAGAGTCATTGCCAGCTTTGGGATGTAGCTGCATTTGGCCCGAGGGACACGATTAGAAATGATAATTTTCACATAAAAATTACGTGGGGTCATGTATGCAACGATTAGAAAATCGTTTCTGATAATCATCTGAAAATTGCTTTTAAGTAGCTCACTTCCTGATGCTGTGATTTTGTTTTTACCCTGCTTTAGCGATACTGGATTTAAGTAATTGGGATATAGGTATAAAAAGATACTTTGTGCAAATTAATTAAAGTCATCTTTATATAGCTAGTGGAACTAGGGAGTGTTAGATCGGAGATATGAGGAGTTTCTCGAGGTGCTTTGTTAAAATTAGTTTGTGTTTAGGGTAATTACAGTGTAATGTGCCTGAATACTTAAGTATTAGGCAGGAAGTAACTCATCATTAAAACGGTGCTTAAGCACTGTAGATAGTGAAATGTCTTAGAAGTGGCGTTATCTAATCAGAGCTTCAGACAACGGTGTCTTTTTCACGGTAATACCCGGTGCTGCAGTTCCCCGGGTGCATTCCCAGGTTTTCTGTGGCCGTGGCCTTGAACCTCGAGTTTCCTTGGATGCACTGGCTAATTAACGAGGATGATTCAAGATGGAAAAGAGCGGATAGATTGTTAATTAAAAGGTTCTTCTTAAATCTCTTGGATAGATCTAACACAACTATCCACACAAGCTTCTTTTTAACATTAATCCCCCCCCCTTTTTTTTTTACTATATAGATTGGATTGCTAATAAACAATAAGAAACAACTTATTAAAATTGCAGCATACAGAAAGTAGAGCCGCTTACCAAGGCCAGGGATTTTCCAAATCACACATCCTGCACGTTACAGCTGCAAGTTTCTGAGCTGCATTGGGCTGACGCTGGAAGGGGATGAAAAGAGTGGAAGGGCACAGCAACATGGCTATAGTTGTAATGTGCAGTTTTTAATCCCTTTTTTGTTTTCAGAAGATTTTTTGATTCAAAGGGTTGTTGTTTGGAAATGGTCATGTATCTCCTGAGTGTTGGATTGGCCCTTTAAATTTTCCTGACGCTTTTATTTGCTTTTTTTCGCCCTGTTTTGGAGCATTTCTATTAAATTCCTCAATACTTTCATACTCAAGTTATTGTCTTGACCAAATACTCCATTTCCTAAGGAAGGAATCCATTTCAAATACATGTTTAAACAGGGGAATTCAAAATTGCAAGGGTAGCACTGAACAAAACCAGAAATTCCTCACTTGAAGCTGGCAGCTGTATTTTTGTAGTAGATACTCATCTTTGAGTATACTTTGATTTGGAGAATGCTGTATCCTATCCTAACTCTGCTCATGCTTTGTGCTAGTCACAGACATTAGGCATCTGTAAATATGCTGGAAAGTCAAGACAAACTGTTTTTGTATCAAACCCCCAAGAAGAAGCTGCCACATGTTGCTATGTGGACGTGTACAGAGCATATCCATGCTGTTTATAATGAGTGTCTAACGGGTGCAGACCTAATTGCAAGCCCCTGCATGACTTGAGTCCTTCAGAAGCAGATAAGGAAAAATGCATCTTGTCCTCAGCAAGGAGAGAGGGCAGAAAGTGAAGACCCGGCATCCCTGGAAAACTACTGTGTTTAATCTCAGCCATCAGCAGAAGAACTTAGCAGGCAGCAAAAAGTAATTGCCGCCGTATCAAGAATATCCCTCGTTCCAAATTAATTTCTTCTGCTTTGGTATTGCCCATTCTAAGCAAGCGCCTCTCCTAATGACTCTAAAACACTGTCCCCACCTTTATTTTACAGACCCTGGGATATATTCCTCGGATTTAGTTTTATTAGCATATAAATAAGAAATGAAGGGTATAAAGGAGTTCAGGTCAAGTCATTGTATGGGCCTGGGCTGCCTGGCAGGGCTGAGCCTGTCCCGGTGCCTTCGTCGGGAGGCAGCAGCGCCCAGAGCCAGCTCCTTCAGCCCCCTCCGTTCTTTTCCTTCCTTCCCGCCCCTGTTTTCCTGCTTTTTGGCCCATTCTGGAGCTGTGTCTCCACGTATTCCGTGCGTGGTTTCCCCTGTTACTCCCGTGTGCAAGCACAGCTCCACTTTCGGGAACGGCAGGACGATCCCTCGCGTTGGACCTTTCCAAAAGAGGCCTCTGGACCCCCGAAAAAAAATAAAAATGGGGATTTTTGACCAAATCATTTTGCACATGGAGAACCCCAAGGGCTTAGAAATAAATTATGCAGATAATTCATATGTATGTGGATAAACTCTCTGAATCCTTTGCTAGATAGGTATTAGAGCTGCTTAACCAAAAACACCTTGACCAGTTATACCTGGGTGAGAGGGGCAGCGTAGCAGATTTTGAGAAGACAAATTTACAGGGTCAGGAATAAGGGAGAAAGTAGGTTTGAAAAGTGACTTAAAGGGAAACTTGGTGGCCCGTGGCTGCAGAAGGGCTCCAGGACATGGTGGGGAGCAGGAGAGCCCCTGCTGCTGTTAACGCTGCTAAAATGTCTTGGTTTGCCACGAGCTGCTGTGCCAGACCCCATGCTAACGAAGCATTGAAGATTTACTCTTATGAAAGGCAATGCTTTGAAAACGAAGAGGGTGCGAAACCGTAATTAACTCCTCTTTTCTTCTTTCCACTCTTCTGAAATGATATGAATTGCAGAAATAGCGTAAAACTGGGATAGACTTGAAGACAGTTTATTGTTTCCTTGCAAAGGAACGTGGTCTTTTCCGTGTTTTAGTCAGCATCCTTTTGTTGTTTTTGTTCAAAGTCCTGTAGGAATGACTGTTAAAATTTTAGAATCCTTCGGAGGAGGATAAAAAGGAGATGCAAAATTACTGGGGGAGGAGATGCCCGAGTGCTTTAAACCTAACAGGAGGCCTTTTTAAAGGCTTCCTTGAAACACAATATTGTCTTCCAGGGTTAATCCAGGATAGTAATAATTAATTGTAAATTGAGAAACAGCTTTAATTCTTCAAAACTAGAAAAACCTGATGCACCAAGCCCACTCTCTTAAAGAGCTGGCAGAAATAATACAATGTGCCCTCACATACCGAGAGGCTTTCAAACTGCGTAGCTTTTGGAAAGAGAAGTGAGACTAAAATTCACTCTCCCTTTTCTATAGATGTAGCACAAACATGTTTTAAAAATGCATTTTTTTTTTTTGCTAAATTGGTGTGATAAATGCCTGGTATCAAATAATCTAAGGTGTTGCTCTTTTTGGCTATCTGGACGTAGTTTTTCATCAACACAAATCACTGCAATTACACGACCAGTAGAAAGGAGAAGGTTGATCACCAGTGATAAAGCCCAAGATGGATTAGTGTCGTGTTTCTTTTATCTTTGTTCCTTATCTTAAAAACCCATCCTTAGTTGGTTTTTTTTTGTCCCAACTCTTACACTTTTTTATTTGCTTGCCTCCTGCTACCTGAGTGAGAACCACTTAAGATATTAGTAGGTTTTCTTAATGCAAACGGAAGGATTTTTAGATTGCACTTTCTTGCCCATCTTTTTACTCTTGATAGTGGCTTTATTCTGAATAACAAAAAATACTATGTTATAGTATGGTAATAAGTTAAAAATGCTTAAAATGGTGCCATTTGCCTGTCTTTACTGGTCGTATTCTCTCGATTTGCGTTCTCATGAAGCTATCCTAGGAGATATGTAGAATCCATCAGGAAAAATCTGTGAGTTCAGAGACATTGGGTTATGCAACAAAAAATAGTAACTGTCACACTACTGGCAGTTACTGAAAGAATAAAGAGTAACAGCTCCAAGCCCGTACCTGTAGCTGGGGGTGTTGGCTACGTTTATGTTTGCTTATTTTAACTGAAACTTCCACGGCTTTTCGTGGTCTTTTACATGTAAAAACTTCTGCGTTGTAACCTTTTTTTTTTGTCTGTTTTTGAAGGCATACGATGGCTTTGCCAGCTTGGGCATATCGCGACTGCTGGAGCCTTCCGACATGGTTCTGCTAGCGATCCCGGACAAACTGACTGTTATGACCTATCTCTATCAAATAAGGGCTCATTTCTGCGGCCAGGAGTTGAACGTGGTTCAGATAGAGGAGAACAGCAGCAAAAGCACCTATAAAGTGGGTAACTACGAGACGGACACCAACAGCTCCGTGGATCAGGAGAAATTCTACGCGGAGCTGCACGACCTGAAGCGGGAGCCGCCGCTGCAGCCGCCGGACAGCGGCCTGGCAGACTTTGCCTCTCAGGACGACTCTGTGTTTGTGAACGACAGCGGCGTGGGCGAGTCCGAGAGCGAGCACCAGACCCCCGATGACCACCTGAGCCCCAGCACGGCCTCCCCTTCCTCTCGCAGGACTCGGAGCGACCCCGATGCGCAGAAATCCCAGCAAAGCTCCGGGAGGACTTCCGCCTCGGAGGAGGTCGGGAAGGGCGGCAGCGCGGACGCGGCCCAAGTGCAGCCCGTGCTGGGAAAGAAGAAGTTGCTGAAAGCCGACACTTTGGACTTGAGTGACCTGCAGCACGTTGGTGATCCCCAGGAGGACGCGTCTCCCACGGGTGCTTGCGAAGACGGTGGCGGGGAAAGGCGCCAGAGTTCAGACAGTCCCGTTGGCTTCTCGGAGCATGGGAATCTGGGACATGCGGGATCCCCCGAGAGCGCCAAAGGAGATCCCGGTTCACCCGGCACAAAGCCGAGTTTATCTCCTCCTTCCAAACTGGGATATTCCTATAATAACGATGCAGATCTGGTGAGGAAAAAGCGTGCTTCCCTGAGGCAGGGAGAAACTGATTCTGAGCCCGACGCCAGAGCAGCTTTAAATCACACAGATCAAAGTGCAAAAACAGCCCAGGTAAGAATTCAGCTTCTCTGTGTGTGTGTTTGGGTCAGCGTGGAGTTTCCACTCGAGTTCCTTCTCCCTGATTATGATTTACACTATATCTGCAGTGTAAGTGGCAGAGTAGGTGGCATATTCTTATTGCTGGACAAATCAGACCGCTTTAATAGCAGAAATGTTTAGGCTAATACATGATGCTGAAAGAAAGAGCCATTGCATTTCAAGTAAGTATTTTCCAGCAGCAAAAAGAAGGAGACTTTGGGGCTTTGGCCACTGAGTATGGAATCCCCAGCATCTTTCTTCTGAATATTGCACGCTGAAGGAGTAAATAAAAAAATGTTCTCAATTCAGTGATCCATATTCAAAAAAATGTAATCTTCTGAATGATTTGAAATATCCCGCTCGGATTTCTAGCTCTTGTTGGAGAGGCCACGTGCCCTTGTGAGCACGGCCCACGGTGACGAGGAGGGACTCCTGCGTGCCATGTCGTGCTGTTGATGGAGCGGCCTTGAGCGTGTTGCTTAACTGGAATATCGGTTTTCCGATCTGGAAAGATAAAAAGCATATGCCCACCCAACTTGCAGATTTATGGCGAGGATGAAAGCCGAATATTGTAGAAATGCTGAGCATTATCAGCAAATAGTATCATCAGAAAAATATGTAAAAAATGTTATCAGCCCTGCTTACAAATGTGCCAAACCAGACTCATAAGTTTATCCCCCTAAAGAACTTTCTTTAGTTTTGGTTTGATTTGGCTTCATGCCATTAGCTGTGATAAGAAAAATCTGCAGGCAGTATTCGAGTATTGTGGATTGGTTTAAACACTTTTACGTTTTTTTCCATTTTGTTGTACTGTGAGGATTCATTTTGTTGTAAGACAGACAGTCCATAGGTGGATGGTAGCAGACAAAATATTAGTTCCTTGGTCAGCTAATTTCTATCCTTTAATAAGTGAAGCCTCATGAATTTATTCATCATCATCTCTGGGCAGTGGATGAGAAAGGAACAGTTTGGCCCACACAGAATAATGCAACACGGAGAGATAGACATGGTGTTTTCTGAGGAGATTTTCATGTGCAAGAATGTGGCACACCAAGGAAAAAGGAAGAGGTGTCTCTAGAGACCTTTGGGCCTTGTTAATCTTCTGAGCGTTTGCACAAAGGACTCCAATCTCAACCAGGAACCTCCAACTTAACCTCCGTGGTCAACTTGGGTCAACCGCTTTGGCCGTCGCAGGAGCACAGCCTGCAGCATCTGCCGCATCGTGGAGCGTGGAGAGGCCTGGAGACACGTTTTTCCAGGGTCTTCTTAGCTGCCCTTGCCTGAGGATAGCTTGGAATATCACCTCAGCTCCTCCGCAGGCCTCCTCCTCCGTTATTCCTGCTCCGCGTGGCCGTGTGTGTGAAGCTGGGACTTTCCTGTGGATATTCCTAAATCAACCAGGAGACGCCGCGTTGCTTTTTTCCTTTGCCTTGTATCCAAGCTCTTTGCGTTCAATTTAAGTTATGAATGAGCGATACCCATTTAAGTAGCCAACGAAGCATTCTATTTGCATACATATTAAAGTAAATAAGTAAACACATAGCGCATTTAACATAGTTACCTTCCATGAAGCCAATTACTTTCTTTTTCCACTGTGGCAGTTTAAAGGCGTTAAATGTTGATAGAAATTAAGTTTTAAAGGGAGGGGAGAGAACTGTATTTACATTGTAAAGACCTATGACTTTAATTTTATATTTTGATCATCTTTTCATTTCTGTAGAAGGCTCTGTCACCCCATGAAGCTGTAAGCCATGTGGCTCCTGGCCTTGGTTTTAAAGGAAAGCTCCTGGCTATTAACTACTGTGTAAATGTGAAGTACCCGGGGGCTGCCTTGCTGTTAATTATGTTTCTTTATTTTTAAGCAACGAATGTTGTCAAGACAGGAAGAACTTAAAGAACGAGCAAGAGTTCTGCTTGAGCAAGCAAGAAGAGACGCAGCTTTAAAGGCAGGGAACAAGCAGCTAACCGATACGGTCGCCCCGGCCCGCAATAAGCAGCTGAATGATGTAAGAAATACTGGCCAAGTGTGGCACTCTCTGTGGTTCATTTCACTGCACTTCCTTGCATTTTGGTGGGGAGGACATCCTTGAGGAATGTCTTTTTCCTGTGCTGAATGTCCCGATGTTGCAATGTGTCGCGTACCCTGAGTTCACTTTTAAAGAGCAATTCTCCTGCTGCTACAGCCTTAGCCTAAGAAAGGTGCCTTAGACATCACTGGACACAGAGATCTGAGAGCACCTTCTTTGCCTGGCACTGCTTCTTCTAACAGAAGGGAGAACAAAAGTTATTACTGAAGGATAGTGGAGTCATTTATGCTATTTTTGATTACCTCTCTCTTTTTTTTCTCAGTTAATATAAATGCATTCCCTGAGCCTCCTTCCTAAGCGTTCGTGCAGCCGGCGAGGCTGCTCCTGACAGTTTGTAAAGGAGCTGGTGGAGCAATCCCCTTTTATCAGGGAAGTGCCCGGTGCTGGGGCGATGGGAAGCGGAGCCGGGCTCCCGGGTGGCACCTCCAGGGCCCGCTGGTGACCTGCACGGACGGGCCCGCTCTGGAGATGAAAACTAATTAATTTTTACGGCAGCCTTCGCAGTGCCGGTTTCGTAATTCGCATTGGAGAGCGCGCTGCTAGCTAAGAATGCAAATGCAACTGGAAAATAACGATGCAGGGAAAGGCTGGGGTTTGGGCTTCTTTCACAGGCTAGTCCTGAGGGGCAGATTTTGCTTTTTGCATGAATGGGATCACACGGTCAGAAAGGGAAGACAACGACTGTACATCTCATTTCACTCTCTAAACTTGCTTGGTTCTGTGGTGTATATGGCTTTTCTCAGAAAATATTTCCTGACACAAACTGACAAGAATTTATCTTTATTTTTCTTAAAAATATGAGTATATATACATGCATGCCTTATTCTCGTAACGGTAAAATTATGATAATTGCGTGATTATTCTGTATTTAACTTTTTCCTAGATAACCATAAGTTTGCTTTGGATTTTTTGGTTGATTTGTTTATTTAAACAGTTTTTCATATGCTGAACGTCATTATAGGAGGGCTGCTCTAGGACACAAATGTATGGATTATGCAATTAAAGGCCATATGAAATACATACAGTGGGAACTAATGAGGAATGGTACAACTAACCTAACTCTGAAATTTCCTAACTTTTTCAGTGCTTGACTTCCCAAACTCGACACTCTCATAACATATTTCAGTGTGAGACATATCTGTTGTGAAGGGAAGAGTTTATAATGGAGATTGATACATTAGGTTGTTTTTATGGTTTGTGTGTTATATAAAACCGACAGGTTTATCCATACTCATGGGTAATCTGAATGAGGATGTGTGTGTACAGCAAAACATACAGATCCTCAGATACATATTTCTGTTGGTCTCAGTTTGAGCAGCATCTTTTTTATTTCTTTAACGTAACCGATGAGCATAAACATAAGACTTTAAATTTAATGTTAGGTACAAAGCTATGCCAGTTTACTACTGGACATTGCTAATTTGCTCCTTGAAAACTAGTAGACTGCTTCTGTTCCAGGTCAATAATCATAACTTTCGCTCAAGCATCTTTTTGTCATTTATATTGGCAGTGTAGGTGTCTGTCCCACCTGTGTGGAGTAATGCTCGGTGTTACTTCTGCGTTGCTTTTTATTGTTATTTATGTGTTTTTAAATCTCGGTAGTCTCTTCATAGACTGCTAACAGGTCGTGAATGCGGCCTCTTTCCCATGACATGTCCTTTCCCTTGGCTGTTTACCCCATTTCCTTGAGTTTCCCTCCTGGTTCCTGTGCCTTTTCATCTTCGCCTGTTCGTACTCTACGAGCAGCCCCGCATCACTATTTTCATTTGCTTTACCCAAAATTCGGTGAAATTGTGGGAGCAGAAGATTAAGCCTTAAGCTCCTGCAGCTTTTCAGCTATTCCTCTGGATCTCACACTTCTCATTGCCTCTCGGGCAATATCCTCTTCCCTTCCTCAGTGTGTGTCCTCCTGTGCTTTGCTGTCTCTCACACTGTTCATTTCAGCAATTTGTCCTCTGCGTTTCAACTCCGATTCATCTTTTTTTTCCCCCCAAATCAGCTTTCTTTACTCTGTCTTGCCTTAAGTTTCTTCTCTTTTCGCCTTCTGCCCCATCATCTTCCATCACTGTGTGTTTCACCTGATTTAGTCCCATTAATCTCTGCCTGCTTCCTCACTGCTACCTTGTAGCTCAATTGCTTTTTTTTTTTCATGCTTTTCCTGAGAATTTTCGCCGCTAGATCCACTCCTCTCGTGCTTCTGAGAACCACGAGCCCTGCAGGCTGTGGCGTGTGCAGGTACCGAGCCTAACAATGGACTGCACTGAGCAGGATCGCCTCGAAAACGTGATCTCGGTTTGGGGGGAATCGTGACTGATGCAGCGTTTTTGATGCTAGAAAGTGAACTTAGGAGCTCTGTGAACATACGGACACTTATCCCGTCCCCTTAGGGATCTCCTCCCTCTGGATAGATTTATGGACAGCTCTACCTTCCTGCTGCTGTTCTTGATATAGATGCACTTGATGCCGGGATACTTTTTGCAAGACATTCTTGTTATTTCCAGCCTGGTATAAGAGCTGCAGTCCCCTGCATTCAGGTGGGGAGCCTTTTTATTGGTTCCTCATTTTGATTTAACTCCCTCTTTTCTTGTCATTAATAATATTGCAATCCAATAATATTGGATTGACATAAATGCTCCTCCATGTAAAACATGGATCTGTAGAGATGGTTGCTAGCAGCTGGGGCTTGGTTGGGATAAGTGGTTGGAAAGGTAAGGAGACTGGATGGAGCTGCTGTGCCCAGCCTAGCTGGTAAAATAGACCAAAAGAGAAAATATTCAGGAAGAGCAGGGCTAAAAGGTCTTCTCTCCTAGGGTGCCTTTCCTTGCCAAATCTGAAGCAGAATCCGTAAATCTCCAATTTCAGCTCCACTGTCAGCAAATATCTGTGAAAGCCGGTGGCAAAATATTTGTCCTATTCTCCTTTAATGACTGGTCCACGTAAAGAATGGAAATTTCCTGCAGCTGTCGTTGACTCTGTAAACTCCAGTGGCTATGGGTATGAAGCTGGTGTGATTACAGAGAATGGAATTAGGAGTTAAGAAATGCACTGGCAACTTTAATTAACCTCCTTTGTGTATATGCATTATGGTGCAGTCTTTAATTATGTGATCACATAGTGTTTTCCCCAAAGCAAACGTGCGGGTTTCCCTCGGAGCGCCGGGGTGCTGTTTGTCCACAGGAGCTGTCCTTTTGGGTGCAGAAGTGGCCGGTGGATGGAGCAGGGCTTGCGAGGAGCAAAGGATGCGGTTAAGGTGCCTGGCAGAGTTAAGTGAGAGTTCCCCATCGGGCCTACTAGGTCGTCTGAACCAACCTTCCTCGTTACGTGTGGGCATTAATTGTGCATCCTTCCTTTCTGGAGGTGAAGGTGGGATTTGCAGGTGTATTGAGCATCCCAGCTTCTGCGGGAGGTCAGTGGGAACTGCGCTTTAGACACCGAAAGGACTGCTTAAAGATTGAGACACTAAGGAAAAAAGCAAGTAAAAGCCTTTCCCAACGAGCACCCAGTGTTAGATCCTTTTAGCTGGATCTCTCCATCTCATTTCTCATCCAAAGAGCCGAGTAATAACACCACCACGGGGTGCTGCGAGAAGGGAATGTGATTAATGCTTCTGAGGCTCTTAAAAGCTGCGGTGATGAGCACTGGAGAAAAGCACTTGAAGAAATTAATAATTCTGCCCACAGAGCAGTATTTGAATATTGTGTAGTAGAGAACGGTGCGACAAATTGGTAGGCCCAGTGAAACAGAAAATAAAGCAGAGAACACCAGTGGGTAAGAGCTGTCAGTTCTGGTCGTAAGCGTGTAGTAAAGGTCAGGCAAGACTCTATTCCAGTGGATAGAGGGATGGATACACAAAGAGATGAAAATTAAGGCTGTGCCCAGCACTCTGCCTGCTGGCATCACCTAGATCCTGGGTACGTGGCTAAAACACTGTAAACTTCTTTTGTAATGTAGAGAGCTTTAGCGGAGAGTGCCCCATAGCACAGAATTCATCAAAAATAGTGCGTAGCTGAAAAGGGGGGTGATATTCTTTCTAGCACAGATCTGCCCTGGAGTTATTTGGGTTTTGCAAGAGCTAAAGATTCCTCCTCAGTGGATTTAGGAGCAGGACTGGGCCCTTCGTATGGGTTTGGCCAAAGGTTTGGGCTATGCAGGGTCCAGCGTAGGCGCTGGGACGCAAGGCCTGGCTACCAAGGTAGCCCAAGGGTGGCCACACAGGGTCTCTTGACCTGGTAAACCAGGAAAACAGTCGTTCTTCTTCCACAACCACATTGTGAGGATGAAGGCATCAATTTATAAAGTATTTAAACCAGATTATTATAAACTGAAGGGGTGTTTCTGGAGAGCAATGGCTACACTACTTTAAAATAGTGTTTAAATACAACTGTCAATAGTCGACGTACATACAGGAGATATTTTTTTTCCTTGCTACCATTATTTAATACTTATTCAAGTGGCATAAGTTATAGCTGCTTAAATATAAAATATATTTTAATATATATAATAAAATATCTATTTATATTTATAAAATATAAATAGCTATTAATATATTTAATATATAAAATATAATTTAAAATTAATACATTTATTAATATATAATGAGTATATTTAATATATGTTAAGAATTAGAAGAGTAGTGAGGACTGTATTCAGCTTTTGTAGCAGAACTGGCAGATAGGAAGCAGCTCACCCACAAGCTGTTACCTCCAAACTCTTGACCTGGTAAACCAGGAAAAACCAGGAGAAAGTCATTCTTCTTCCACAACCACATTGTGAGGATGAAGGCGTCAATTTATAAAGTATTTAAACCAGCTTATTATAAACTGAAGGGGTGTTTTCAGAGAGCAATTGCTACACTACTGCTGTGTTTAAATACAACTGTCAATAGTCGACGTACATACAGGAGATATTTTTTTTCCTTG